TACTAAATACACATTTATTTGCATGACTAGTTTAATTAAAGGACGAATAAAAATAAGTGAGTCTGCCTTGGGCTTGATCCTTTTATTACGTGAAAAAGTTTTTGAGTGAAAAAAAATATATTATGCCTAATAAAAAGAATGACAAAATATACTAAATTCATCCCAGTCTTATCATGGTCTCCGACAAGTAACTGTGACATAAGAAAAAACCACATTCCGACTTAAAATAGTCAAACAATTGTTCCCCCCAAGATAATTAAATAAATGGATTTATTTTTTACCTACATGCTATATATAACTGCTAGCTTGTTAGCATCTTTCATAGCCCTCGCAATTTCAATAAGCTAAACTTAATTTGGTTCGAGCTTATTAATTTATTTACAAATCAAATGGTTCGTAAGCATCTCGATTTATTTGACCAAAATTTTTTAATTTCTATACTAATTTAATAGATATCATAATTTTTTTATTGTTTTAATCCATTTATTTTTTAAAATCCATGTGCTAATTGTACAATTTGCCCCCTTATTTATACCTCTTTGGGAATAGCACTCAAACAATGAGTCAAAAGTTTTTGAGTTTCAAGAGCACAATCAGCCATATATGTCGTTTTCCCTCCTGTTATGTTAATTTGAACTGAAAAACTTACATTCAGATTTCGACTTTACTATCCATATGCTGGGTTCCTTGCATAAAAAAACTAGACATACTTAAATTTTTAGACAAAACCTGCCACCTGCAGCCTGCAGGTGTTTGCATCACTATGTGTTGAAGTTCGTGTTTCGAAAATCCTGGCTTCAGCCGGAAATTTGAGAGTTCAGGATCATGAGTCTTTCTATCAGTAAACTGGAAACAGGGAACAATTCTCTTCATGGATTTCTTTGCACTGCAATATTTCATTATTGATCACGTGTACAATATTGGACCATTAATTTTCTTCTGCATTGGCGCGTGCACCCATACAGAGATCCAATCTTCTTCTACAGACTCTTCCCTGGATCAATCCCGCTGCTTATCTTTTTTCTTGGAATTTCAAATGATGGGGTGCTCTGCGTTTTTTATTCTAACTCTTTTAACTTAGGATGGAAAATTGAAATTTTAAATTTTTATAATATACAAAAACTACGTTTGATCAAGTTTGAATCAAGTCAGTTTATTTAATTTTATATTATTAATCAGATCAGATTTAATAATTATATTTAAAAATATGACGACTAAATTGTGCTAAATTTAGAGTTTTCTTGAGTAATGTAGAAACACCAAACAAGTGTCTTGAATCATTATAATCACATCACAATCTAAGCTGCAAGGTGGTAAAGTTAAATGACAACATTAAAAAAAAAAAATTTAATATTATCTTCTGGTCACCATGCTTGTGGAACTGACAGCTTACAAAAATTTCAGTAGTTGGGAACAATTATTGAATTAGGTCCAATTAAGAGATCGTCCTCAGAAATAGAACAGTCCGCCCGTTGGTGGTCCTGAGTTATATATTTACAATAGTACCCCCTCCCAGTATATTAAAAAAAATAAAAAATAAAAGAAAACGAGTAGTGCATTCATGCACACTTGTACGAAAAGCAATTTAGGAAGAGCATCCTGGCCTGATTCCTGAGCTTAAAAGGTTTGCATCTCGCGAGCTAAACCACAAGATTAATCTACAGGACAAACATCTCCATCAAATCAACTTTTACTCACACACAGAACAAACAGCGAAGAGGGGAAAATAGGACTTTACAAAAGACAGTTGTCAGCTAAGAAAGCAACTGTTTACAAATTATTTCAAAGAAAAAACTATTTGAAAAAAATTAACTGTCCGAGTATCAACTACCATCCATGATATCCCCTGCTGTTTAATTAAGGGAAGACTTTTCGAAAGCTCGCCGAAAATGCAAATTGGGCCTCACGAGCTTGCATCGTCGCCCTTGATCACCTTTGAGGCTATAGCCTCAATCAATTTCTTTGGGCCGAGAAGATGTATGGATGTAAGATTGTTCAGGGCTATGCAGAGAGGGCTTTTCTACTGTTACCTTGTACAGATTTAAAATTTGTTTATTTTTGTATTTTAAAATTATTTTTAAAAAATTATTTTTTATTTTTTATTTTAAATTAATATTTTTTTAGTATTTTCAGATTATTTTGATATACTAATTTTAAAAAAATTGTTAAAATAAAAAAATATTATTCTAATACATTACTAAATCAAAAATATTTTAAAAATAATTATTATCACATTTCCAAATAAAATTGTTACAGCTTCCAACCGATTTTACAACATACGGTTCAGCTCACTATTTTCTTAAGCAGAGAGAAATTTGATGGCCATGACCAAAAACATAGCAGTGAATGTTTGAACATTAAAAAATTTGATCAAGACGGGCACTATTTAAGATCCCCGTGCAGGCAAGTCGGCACCTAAGAAGAGAATTTGTGCTATCAGCTAGACTCAATATACGTTGTAGTGATTGGTATTAGAATACAATCGATTGTCAAGGAATTCAATAGAAAATTACAGAAGATTTTCCAGCTACCAGGTTGAGAAAGACATCAATTACGATGAGGTCATTTTAATGATTATTTTCCATATGGTGGGTAAAAGCTATTTTCATGTGTAACGACGCAGTCATTTTTCTATTGGGTGCATTTGGTTTTTTTACTAAATTAAGATAAATGATTTAAAGATATATCATCTGATAAAAAAAAATGTTTGAAAAAAACTCCTTTTCGTATAATCACTAATAAAAATCACAATAAATCGGCAATGGAAATAGCGACTGTGGTAGTTCCTTTACCATTCCAGCATAAGTTCCTGTTATCTTCGTTTCTACTATCTCTCTATAATGAAGTGCAGAACATCGGCAAATCCCACCAGGCCATTTCCTCTATTGAAAACCGTATTGTTACCTGTTGGCAAAATCCCATCAACATTTTTCACGTCATTCACCAAAGAGCCAACCCCAACCATTCCGCCAGCGCCATTAAGTTGGTTGGACAACATGATTTCATGTATGATTTTCTGGACAGAGCTTTCAGAATCACCATGGTCAGCCTCGCCAGAAAGAGCTGGCTGTTGCAAGGTGGAAATTAATGTTTGCTGGTGAATTTGTGGAACTAATATGATTGGCAGCTGTCAAGGCACCATGAGATGTATGTGGAGGATTTTTTTTTTTTATTTTTTTTTTACGTGGGGTGTCCGGGCCAGCTTACACGCACTACGACTAATCCCCACGGCTCACTGAACATCCTGCAAGCCCAGTGAGCAGGTAAGGTACCGCTGGGTAACAGGCATGTATGGTGAGATTCAAACCAAGATATGGAAGAAGAGAACAAGCTTCTCCCAGCACTAAGTCAAAACCTCACTTGTGTATGTGAAGGATTTTTTGATGATGAGGGTGTTGATAACTGGAATACAGAAGGATGAGGTTGTGCCTGTGGAATCGTTCCAGAGGAAGAACCACTATTCCCATCGGCGGTTTATTAATTTAACTGCGGCTGCTTGTTATTTCCATCAGCAGTTTATTAATTTAACTGCGTTTATGTAGACGTATGTTTTTTTTTTTTAAAAAAAAAAAACTGAATTTCTTTGCAAATTAGGATCGTCGCATTAGATAGGGTACATGGCTCTTGTTTCGGTTAAGAGAAGGATGATTGACTTCACAAGAGAACAGAATAAACTTTCAATATTATTATGTTAGGAAAGGAGCCGACCGAATTACAAAAAGGTGATGAGAAAGAGTTTATTTGGAATCAATTCTATTTTATAATTAATTGGTTTTAGCTATTTAAATAAATTTAATTTGTTTAATTTGCCAGCTGATTTTTGGTAGCATAGGCTTTTTAAAATTGTAAAATTCATTTGATTTAAGTTAATGAAAATACACCATTTACTCAAATCGCTCTCATTCTTAAAAAAACTCATTCCAAGCATACGTTTGAGAGACAAAGAGGGGGGGGGGGGGGGGGGAGAGATAAGTGTGTAAATTAATGAGATTAATTTTTAATAACTCATTTATAAAGAAAATCACACATTTTTTAATTGATTGCGGAATTCATCTATGTTGAGAACTAAAATTGAGTTAATAATGTTAAAATGATTTTATTTTTACTCAAATCTTAGTTTTTTAAAAACCTAAAAGTGTTTGACAAATGATAGATCCATTTCTAGAAATAAAAAATAAATCCATTTCTACATTAGTTAGTTTTTGATAGAAACCCTAAAATGCAAGATTAAAAGTGAAAAGCGTTAACAAAATAGAATATAATAGTGAAATAATTTCAAGGGTAGGGCTTCATTTCGTTTTTTCGATTTAATATAAAGGAGGAGTACTTATATCAGTTTATGTATTAATCGAAGTTAAATACTTTTTTTATGATTTTAAGAGCATAACATTATATGATATTAGTACATACGAAAGAATTTAATACTCGTAGATAGTAATTCAAAGTTTTAAATTAAAAAAAAAAAAAAACTAGATTAATCATCTCTTGAGGTTAAGGCAGAGTTCACGAGACTCTTTTCTCAGCTGAAAGTGAAATGGATTAAAAGTGAATAATGTTAAAAAAAAAAGAATAAGAAATTAAAATAAATTTAAGAAATTACAAAATCTGGACGCAAGGACTGTGATAGGCGAATTTTGATTTACGCCTATCCGAAGTCTTGTTTATCAGGCCATACCGCGTCGTTTTATGAAAAGTGAACGGGCCTTGATATTTATTATGATGTCGACTGCTTAGAGCTAGACAAAGGGAGCAGCGCTGTGGTTCAGAAACACACACGTACACTCGAAGAAAAGAAATAGAGAGAGGAAATGGAGGGTAAAATTGAAAAAAAAGATTAAAATTTCTAATAAATATTGTCTGAATTAACCAAGATTTATACTGTAAAAAAAAAAAAAAATAGAGCGAGAGAGAACATACAAAATCGTTAAGGAAAAAATATGACGTCTCATAAGGTCAAAGATTTTTTTTTATATATCTCAATAAATAAATAAATAAATGTTGTGATGTTTTAAGGTTTGGGTTCTGTTTGGAAGACAGAGTAGATGTAGACTGTCGCTAACTGTTATCAGTTGTTGCAAGCGAATTTAGCTGTAATTTATTATTATTATTTCCAAGAATAGAAAAGAAGACAAAAGCATTTAGCTTTTCATATATTTTAGTAGCGAGGTGCAGAGTAGAAAGAAAAAGAGGAAGATTCGGTCATCTCTTCCTCCGTTCCGTTGTCCAAAATAACAGAAGTACCCGCCTTTTCATTTTCCGTTCACCTTCCCAACTCAACTCTTCAAACTTCAAACTCCTCCTTTCAGTCCTCTTCTCCCCTATAAAAATACCCAACCCCTCCCTCACCCCCCTAGCTTCCTTCCTTAACTCTGCAAACACATCTTCTTCTCCGGTATTTCTCTCTCTCTCCACATACCTATCGTGTATCTGTTTATTTATGTCCATGTGTTCCTGCATGCTTGTGTGTTTATGTTCTGATTAATTGAAACTCCAAAATGGTTGTGCTCATTTTGTCTGTCATGCTTTGTGTGATATTCTGAGGACCCTGTGGCTCTTTACAATGTTGGGTTTTTCTTTCTTTTCTGAACCCAGTTACGGAAAGGGATTTGTTTTTCACCCTTCTTCTTCTTATTTTCTTTAGGAAAGTCAAGACTTGTTAATTAAGTGCTGCATTAAATACTTCTTGATTAAGGAAATGATCAGACATGAGCGGGGTTTTCTAGATGCAGTTTTAGAGTTTTCTCGAGTAAACTTTTGGAATTCTTGCAATTGGATAAGATATCACGAGCTTGGATTCATCCCATTCCAATAAGTATAGCATTGATAAGTGTGCATTTGATCCTCTTTTAGATGGATAGATTGCTTTGATGAATCCATACCAATCTTGTTTCCGATTTAGTTGTGTCAGATATGCTTATAATCTTCTTGCTGATTTTAGTGGATTTTGGGCCAGGATTGCCCCCTTTTTATCCATTATATGCATGTGTTTATGATGCGGTCTTTCTTGATTAAAGTTAGTGAATAGCTTTGCAGCTTCCACCTTCTAGCCAGAGGTTATGCTAATCATGGTGTGTAGGAAAAATATTGTCCGAGATGATGCGGTCATGTAAAGCAGTAGGCCTATAAATGATCGTGTCTAGAAGATTGATGGGGTGTGGGTGAAAGGTAAAGTACTGTGGGAAAAAATTATTTAGTTTAAAAGAGGTTGATGAGATTTAATTTCTTGGAATCTTTGGAAAATGTGGCCTAGGATGGAGCAAAAAGATTGGAAAAGGTAAAATTGAACCTATTAGTTTGAGATTAATTCTTTGTTCAGTGAGTTGAATCATGTAATGTTTTGCTTCAAATGGCAGCCAGGAAGTTATGACTATTCCTAGCAAATAAACTCCTCAAACATGATGAAAGTGGGCTTGGACTAAGATTTTAGCAGTATGTGCAGATTCTACCTGGAAGCTAGGAGGCAATTGTGAAGGTTGTCCAAATACTACTCAAATAGTTTCTCTTTGTTTGCATACATATAGCGCAATGGTTAATTGGCACGCCCTTTGTGTTGTAGATGGTCACATAGAATACACAAGTTTTGAGATAATTTTCCAATTTTGTTTCATTATATGACCAGGACAGTTTTCTCCTTGCTTGAAAAACCTTGATATCTTTGCTTTGAATGGCACCAGCAAACAAATAAAGGGTAATTTAATCTGACAGACACAGGTATATGCACATCGTGTAATGAATTCATGTTCTGTTTTGGTGCAGAATATTCAATTTTTCCCTTTGATGCCAGCAATCTTGCTGGTAATCATATTTTGACATTATGAGTCACCACAGTACATTCAATCCTTGTAAAACCCTAGAGAGTGTGCATGGCATCCATGTTGCCCAGCATTCTCCATTTGCTTTGGAACAGATTGATCAACAGGGGGGCTTCCCTCAATCAACTAGTGAAAGTTCAGGCAAAGGACTGGATCAGCAGCTGTTGATGCGGTAAGTGTAAAACCTTCAACCAACTTGGCAACATGCACTTGGAAAATATGTTTCATTGTTAAATTATTGGCTTCAGCAATGTAAAATCTGTTTATCCCCCTAGCTAAGGGATATTGAAGTCTACAAAGTCATAAAATGTTCTAATAACCTGTCTTTTATTTCTTATCCAGGAGAGTATGGCAGCAAAGACCAGGATGTTTGAGGCCTATCCAGGGCTGCATTCATGGTATTACAAATATAAATACAACTTCTTTGAGTTTGATAATGCATGCATCACATTTTATATGCTCTCTAATGCATCATACTTTCACTAGGTGATCAGCATCTTGCAGAAACAGTTGCCAATGTGATTACCTCCCTTCCTTTTATTGTTCTTGGTATCCAGGCTCCAAGGTAGTAATATTTTTCTGTGAGATAATTTATAAAGATCAGATCTGTCAGATTATTTAATCTATTTTATATACAGGAAGAACTTGAATACTAAGTTGTATGCCAACTCGTTAATCGGAGTTGGAGTTGTCTCAAGTTTGTATCATTCTTCAAGAGGAAAGCTGAGGAAGTACTTGAGATGGTTTGACTATACAATGATAGCCACAGCGACAGTAGTAAGTTGTCCAAATGAACGCTTATATATTGGCACAACTATACTATCAAGGTTACAGGCACATCTAGTTTTGAATACTTATGCCAAACTGGAATGTTATTTCTGGAACTAGATGTGATACTTCTCAGTCCTGATCACACATATATCTGGTTTAACAGTTTCTTTTAAAATTGATTTCTTTCCTTCAAATGATGCCACCTTTCCTTCAGTGTTAAATTCAACAGCAAAAATGATGATGGCAATGATAAAGCGGTTGATGTGTTCATGTGCTTTATGTTTGATTTGGTTTTACTTTACATAAGGCAACTGGGCACCTGGTGTAATCCTCGGCATCCTCATATATTGAGTGTTCTTTCTGTCATTTCTTCCCCTCTTGTGTTCCGACTTTACCTGTTTGAATATCCCAAGTCTTGAGTTGACAAAATCTCAACTTTCATTTCATGGAAGCCACATGTCACCTCACCTCATCATCATGTTATCGCTATATACATCTTCTCATGAACGAGTGGCACTTCAAACCCTATTCTTTTCTCTATTGCCTTTTAGCAGTCAAGTATTCAACGTTTCAGATGCACATGTTCTATATGCCCATTTTTTACTACTTAAATAAGGCTGCACCCTTGGGGAATGGCTTGTCTTCTGGCCATCTCATGTTTTCCTTCTTTTTTTCTTTTTTAATTTTCATATATGCACGCCAATCTTGCAGCATTCATAGAACTACTCTTATCCATACCACCAAGGTTTAATTGCAATGGAAATATTCTTTCTATTCTTCATCTTTAGAGTGTCTAGATTGTAGATTATCCATACCATCTTGGGTTTGATTTGAAGGAGAGGCCGTGAGAAAGTAATTTCATGTGAACACACTAGATCAGATGTGGAAAACATGCCTTGTGAGTTCTCCCTAAACTTAGTCCCAATGGGCGAAAGCTTGTTTGAGGATACTTAACAGTTAACCACAAAAAAAGAAGCAAAGTCCCTTAGAATTTACTCTAGCAACAATGGAAGTCCAGTTTCTGACCTCAAATAGAAGCAAACTTGGTAGGAAATCGCTTCGAGTGCACATAAACAAAGTAACCACAAACTGAACTTTTAATTAAAGTTCCGCTGTGCTGTTTGGTTTAGTTATTCTTATCGAGATTTTGCTTTAAATATTTGAGCTACATTATCATGAACTTGATCACTGAATTACCTTTTGCAGTGTTTGTCAAGGGCCCTAAGAAATGAGAACTCAAAGTATTTGACGGCTGCATCTGCAGCATTATTGCCCATCCAGCCTCTGATGGTCTCTGCTATTCATACAGGGATGATGGAGGTAACCTAGATCATTTCTCACCTCTGATTTTATTAAGTTGATTAGAGTTCAGTTTGTCTTGGTCCACAAATATTGTGACTAAAATGATGATGTCACTGACAGTTCCATTGTTGACTAGCCAGGAACACATATTAATGCTGAGAATGTATCTACATATTAGAATGGCTTTCAATTTTTCCTTCATGCGTTGCTAGCGTAGTTATTAACTTATTATGATTGCCAGAATTTATTGATTACCGGAAAGTATCACATAGTTTGAATATCAGAACCCCGGTGGGTGCTGAGTGCATGAAATGTCTATATTGCTGAATAATGAGGTGACCACTGAAAGCTTGAACCGTAAAAGTCATGTTGTGGGTTTCACACTGTTCTATTCTGCAAGATTAATATATTCATTTCCTTCATTAGTTGCAATTTGAAATCCTTTAATGGGAATACCCTCAACTTTTTATGGTTACATTTATATTGTTAATAGTTTGATTTCCCCTGAATTATTCTTTCTAGGTAGCATTTGCAAAAAGAGCATTAAAAGATCCGGATCTAAGGATGGCACATAATTTGCATAAGATGTCATCGTTGTTGGGGGGTGTTCTTTTCGTTGCTGATGATTGCCTTCCTAGTACTCCTTTTCTTCATGCTGGTTGGCATCTTGCTGCAGCTATTGGTGTCGGCACCTGTAACAAGCTTCTTGAGTAGTGTATATATCTCAGATCAGTTTCTTATGATTCATTTATCCATTAGGATGCAGTCTCTCCTCAAACCCCAGGACGACTATAATTTTTTATTTTTGGTAATAGCTGTCTTTCTTCAACCAGGTAAGGAAAGGAAGAGGGGAAGGGATAGATTTGCTCTTTTTCGTGAGTAGCAGCTCGACTGTCCAACTATGGTTGGGTTTCATAATTTCTTTCCATCTGGATATCATGTAGCCATTCCTAGCGTCTATAACGAAATGCATTTATATTCAGCACAAAATCTATTTATCTGATATACTAATTATATATTTGTAGCATTTTATGTATGTACATCACAATCAGCATTATGAAAGAGAATTATTTCATCTACTTTAAATCAAATGTAGAACCAAGCTCTCAATTACTATAATTTTGCACTGAACTAGAAAAGAATGCCATGTAGCTCTTTTCTTAATGACCAATAATTGATCGCATGCCAGGTCTCACGTTAGCTTGATCCGTACTTTTGATTCGATTATGAAAGTGTGCTTATCGAAGATGGTCATATTTCTTGTAATCATGCATGTTTGATTTCTCTGGTTCACCAAGCACGCTGGCACATCCTAGCAATTAGTACAAGTATGGTTCTACAAAAAGGACTCTAAAGAGGACAGAACAAAAATTTGCCCGTAAAAGGTTTATCATCCGGTCTATATTATGATGACCCAGCTGGAGGAAGCTAAACAGATCCTAGAGCAAGTGATAGAGATTGACTGTTGGTAACATTCATCAAGGTATCAGACTATGCTTCGGCTTCGTTTATGGATGTCTGTTCGATAAAGTAGACTTTGTTTTTTCATTTCTCAACAAATAGACCTGTCGTTGGTCATGAGAGAGTTGCTGTGTGCTGCTACTGCTATAGGTTACTATAATTAAGGTTACAGAATCTGTAGAGTAGCCCTATAATAAGTGCTGTCTGCATTCTAATTTGTGCAGTTAGCAACGGGTAGACATGAGAACTGAAATCATGGAACTGATGAAGGTATTTTTGGACAAGTTTTAAATACCGAGATAAGTCACTTCCATGTTGGGTCGTTCATACTTGAATTGTATGGTAGATTGAAAGTGTTTCATCTCCAGTTTGATCCGGATCCGATCATCCATCATCTCATCACGATGGACATACCTGAATTAAAAATGCAAGTGTACCGGGTAAGCATCGTTTTCCTCCGTTTTGCACCTATGGAATTGTAAGAAATTTCTTTCTACAAGAAGGTGGTTGTTTTGGATTAATTTGCATGTGTTGGGATTAATCAGTTCTATCTTTCCAATCCCATCAAGGACGTCCATTTTTATGCTAAAACTGGGAGCTTAATTCCTAGCCTTGTGTCTGAGTTGAACCAACCTTAAAATTTGGGTGGTTGTTCATAGCTAACGCAATTCAACAGAAGCTCCAATTCGTCTCCCAGTTTGGACATTACACAATATACTAAAATAGTTAAGTGTCTTTGTTACTATTTATATAGACATAAAATACTGTAAATTAAAGTAGTATACTAATAACCTACTTCTTAACACAAAAAATTGTAAAGCAATAGAAAAAGGATGAGGTTATTTTTTTTATTGGAGTGCATTTAATATTAAAATAATAGTTGGAAAGAAAATGATCAATCTAAATTATGATGACCTTGTCCTTGCTTAGGAAAGACGAGTGTCACCTGATACTTGGACGGCTTTCATGCTTAGAGCAGACTCAAGCACCACCTAGCACTTAGATCTCGATAAAAGGCTTGATAGATTATAGTAGCCACAACATAACACGGCGCTAGAGTAGCCCAAGTGTTAATTTTTCACTTCTCATTGTTATTCTAATATTATTACTGGTAATAAAAATATTAATATTTATACCACAACTGATAATATTTTTATTATTCATGCTATTAATTATAAATAAAATAATATTATTTTTTATATGAATATTTTAAATTTTAATAAAAATAATAATATTTTTAATGCAAATACTATTCATTATAATAAAATAATAATATTTGTAATACCAATTATACTATGTTTAAGAGTACTACTTTTAATTATAATAAAAATTAAAATATTTATAACCCAAATAATACTATTTTTTATATTAATACTTTTAATTATTTAAATATTTATAATACAAATAATACTATTTTTTATAGTGATACCTTAATTATAACAAAAATTAAAATATTTAAAATTCTTCGTTAAGACCCAATAGAATTGAGTCTAGCAAGATTCAATAGAATTGAGTCATGTAAGGCCTATTGAGTTGGGGTTATGATGTCAGACTCAAAACAATTGGATCCTACCTCAAATTGAAGATAATCGAGCTCTTTGTCATGACCCAAGTATCCTCGCTCTCCCTAAACCACCCTCATTGCCAAGTAATGTTCGGGTCTGTCCATTGGGCGAGCACAGCTTGGCTCACCCAAGCACTTCAAAGTGTCACATGGTGCTCAAGCTTGATTACTAGGGAAGGGTCACATAGCTCCACGTGGTGCTAAGGTAGATCAAGTGCTAGGTGTCCGCTTTCCATTGTTATTATAATATTATTATTTAAAATAAAAATAATATTATTTGTGTTGCAATTATTTTTATTTCTATTATGATTTAAAGTATTAATATTAAAAATAATATTATTTTTTTTATTTTTATTTTTCATATGATTAAAAGTATTAATATTAAAAATAGTATTATTTATTTTATAATTATTTTTAATTATTAATATTAAAATAATTATTTTTTTTATAATTATTAAAAGTCTGGACACGTCCATACTTAGCTCTAAGTTGGGTCTAAACACAGTTACGTCTAACTCCAAGTTGAGTCTTTACGCATCAATATCCAACCCCAAGTTGAGACGCGTCTACGCCCAGCCTTAGGTTAGGTCTGGACGCGTTCATATCCAACCACATATGTGTTAATATAATAATATGTGTTATAAATACTATTTTTTCTCTTATAATTCAAAGTGTTTATATTGAAAATATTATTATTTATATTATAAATATTATTATTTTTATTATAACTCAAAGTATTGGTATAAATTTTTTTATTATTTGTGTTATAAGCATCATTGAAATTTTTAATATAATTATTTATGTTATAAATATTATCATTTTTATTATAATTCTAAATATTCATATAAAAATAGTATTATTTGTGTTATAAATATTATTATTTTGTTATAATTAATATTATTAGTAAAATAATTATTATTAATATTAAAAAATATTATTTTTTATATTATAAATTTTTTTAATAGTTTTTATAAAAATAAACTCAACGTGTAACCCGGGCATCAAACTAGTTACTAATACTAGAAAGAGAAGGTTTTGCCGAGTGTACAATGACGACATTCGCAAACATAAAAGGCTAAGAAGTACTGTCTGCTTAAACAATGATCATTGCTAATCCAAATTTTAAATTTCAATAACCTTTTATATCTCAACCTTCGGGTTTGGTATTTAATTATTCACTGGATAGTCATTACACCTACTCATACTAAAATATAGTTGACTTGTTAACTTTGGTTTTTGGTTCCTCTCCTGGTATCTCCTACTTTTTTGGCTCGTTTGGAAATGCAATTCAACTAGAGTTTCTGAAAAACGTTAATTTTTTTATTCAAATTAATATATTTTTAAATAATTTTGATACAATTATATTAAAAATAATTTTTAAAAAATAAAAAATATTATCTTAATAAATTTTTTAAAAATAATATTTTTAATTGCAACCTCTACTAAATCACTAAGCAAGCATTCATGTAGCCCATTGCTCCCTCCCTCTGCGTGTGTGTTCTGCGATGGCGTTGTCAGCATACAGTCCTCTTTCCACTGGGGTTAAAACTAAAATGCCTTTCCAGGTTCTCCATTTTTGCATCCCCCATTGCGCTCTCTCTCTGTGCGTGTGTGTTCTGCGAGGGCGTTGTCAGCATACAGTCCTCTTTCCACTGGGGTTAAAGCTAAAATGCCTTTCCAGGTTCTCCATTTTTGCATCCCCTTTATTGTTGCTTGTTCAGTCTATAAAGAGATCATTCCCTATATAGAGCTTCGAGCTTGCAAGCCGGAGAGAGAGAGATAGAGAGAAAGGGCAATTAATATAGCTAGCTAGATAGCTTCTTCACCACGTGGATGATGAATGGTGGTGACACCAATGAGCCTATTATGAATGATATCTTCAACCCAGAGCCCGACACTACTACCCTTTGCACAGATATTACTGCAACTCCTTCCCCATATGTAGGACTAAAACATCATCTCGGTATGCCTGCCGCATTCCTCTCTTCAGTCTTTTAAGTAGTAGTAAATTATTTCTATTTATATAATATGTTAATGCAGCCAAAACAAGTTGTGACAACTGACACAGTCTTCGCACAAATACTCCACATGTTGACTGTAATTAATATGGGTGCATGCAGCCAAGACAAGCTGTGATCAGCAAAGTAGTGGGAGAGAATTCAAAGAGCAAGTAGAAATTATGGGAGGTTCGAGATGGAACCCAACAGCAGAGCAGCTACTAGCACTTGAAGAAAAGTACAGATGCGGCACTCGAACTCCAACAACCGACCAAATCCAACAAATAGCTTCAGAGCTTCGTAGGTTTGGAAAGATTGAAGGGAAGAATGTGTTTTACTGGTTTCAAAACCACAAGGCAAAAGAAAGACAAAAACGCCGGCTCTGTCAAGTACAACAAAAACACAATAATTCTGATCATGAAAGCTTGAGTAAGCTGATGAAAGAATCAGGTATATATTTTTGCTTCCTTTCATAATATGTATACTTTTTTTTTTTGGATAGTTACGGTATATATGCTTGTTATCTTGTTGCTCTTTTAGTTTTGTATAAGAATGACAGAAAGAAAGAGAATTTTTTTGCACCTTCTTCTCTTTTTTGACTCATCGTTGCTCCTCTTGGTTTAATATAAGAAACTATATATCCTACAATTATCCCTTCTCTTGTTTGACTCTTTGACGTGTCATTTTCTTTGTTTTGTTTCACTTGCTAACAGAGACGAAGAGGACAGTTCATGGACTTGATCAAACAAAGAACTTGGTAACTCATTCAAACTGCAGTGAGCATGTAGAGGTCTGCACTACATCTTCGTCATATATATGTTTCCAGTGGTTAGAGTAAAACACCCAAAAAGCGAAATAATTAAAGTACTCATTAAGATACAATTATTTGATCTTGAGGTCAAATTAAAGGCTAGTTACAGAGCTTTGTCATGTTGCAAAAGGAAGAGGTTCAAAACCTGCATTCCTTGTTATCATGCATGCAAGACCTCGGAAGAATGCACTAGGCTTCTTGTTTACTTTTGTATTTTTTACAGGGGCCTCTTCAGTGCATGGAGCAGAAATTGCAGAAAGTGGAACAAATGGTTGGTCAGAATTTGAGGAGAAGGAATTACACCAGATGAAGAGTAGCAGCCTTGACATGCATGCAATGCGGCATACTATAGATTTGTCTTCCTCTCCTCCCGTCCACCACTTCAAAAGCACCATGACCACAACAACGTCAAAATTCTTAAGCCTTGAAGAGCACAGTTCTCTGTTGAGACCCAGCAAGAGAGAATCACATGCAAATCATATTCATGATGATGAAATTAGGGAAGTTCAAGCCCTTCAGCTGTTTCCACTCTGTAGTGATAACAGTAACGGTGCCAATAGTACCGAGAAAGATAAACAGTACCCATCAGGACCATGAATACCAACTTCAGCCCAAGCGAGTTTTTTGAGTTTCTTCCTCTGAAGAGCTGAAGGAAACAGCAGCCAACCCATGTGGCTACAATGCAGCTATTAATTGTTCTGGTGTTCATGTATCGTGGTTAATATGTCCATGTTTGTTTTCTGTTCACATCTTGCATAGGAAAACTGTGGGATAGGGACATGTTTGGTTGTGTTAAAATGCATTCGGACCATGTTGGTTAAAAACCAAGGCAGACCCCCAATATTTCCTGTAAAGGTGCTTTCTTACAGGATTTGTCTATTCTGTAGACATTGTAGGTCGATGTGAAAGAGTTTGATGTTGAGGTGACCTTAATTAGGGACTCACTGTAGATACATATACATGTTCGGGAGAGAGTTATATAATATATCTTTCTTATCTAGTTCATTAAGAAATTCGGATCCGCACCCTGTACTCGGATACAAATTAGATAAAACTAGGATGGGAGGTTAGGTTTTTATACTTTTTCAAGTAGAAATATGATTTTTGTAGAACCCAATTAGTAGAAAGTGTTATATTCTTTTTTCCGTGGTGAGGAATTGAGAAGACATGAAAACTAAAATCATTCTGAATAAAAAATAAAAATGAAAGGTTATGAGAAATATGAGGGCTTAGCTACTGAGTCTGTTGACCAACGGTCAAGTTTTGTCCTCCCGTTCTCGAAAAAGCCGAACATGTCTGTTTCTAATTTACAGCTTTAACTGAAACAATCTCTTTCCACCCAAAAAAAAATAAAAATGAAACAATCTTCTAAAAAAATGAGAAAAGAAAACATCTCCTTTCAATAATGCATGGAACACATCCATAGAACCCATCGATCATTTGCTGAGAGTGAAGCCGAAACTTTTTGTCACTGAATTTCTGGTGCAATGTTGAAAAAGTAGACAAAGGAAAAAAAGAAGAAAATGAAAAATAGTGTGAGCGATAAAGAACAGTAAAGAGAGCGCATGTTGCCGAGGGAGAGGCGACCATAATCCAGTGAAAATCTTTCTGGTAGTCTGTGAACGGGCGAGCACTGAATTTACCCTGGCATGAAATAGGGTGGCTGGTACCGCCAGCTGCCTTGCCAACCTTTTGGCTTTAATAGTTCCTCCTCTCTTACACCCACCGTGTCCCGCCTCAATGAGTCAACTTAGATCCTCACACGTCCCACACTCGGAAACTACAGTGACTCGACTCGCACAGTTTTGCTGTCCTCTATAATCTATATACCTCCTCTTTGTAACATCACAGACACTGTTTTACACCATTTATCCAAAGAACATTCACAAACCCTCATTGATAATAATGGTTTTGCCCAACACTTTTTGCTTGCTTTACCCATAAAATAAAATTGAAAGAATAGTTTGTTTCCTCGGACATTTTGAGCCAAAAAAAAAGAGAGGAGGATAACCACTTCATTACTGAATCATTTTCATCCAATTGGCTCAACCATTATTTTTTCCAATAGCCAATCCAGCCAAGGATTGGATGTTATCAACAATGCCATCTCCTTCCGCTTGGCTCCTTAGAAATATATCCGATAGTTCTTACCACAAGAACAAAATTTTAACCATGCAATGACTGGATATTTGTTCTCCATACTAGTTCAAGAACAAGAAAGTGAATGGGATCCGCACAGGAAGGCACAAGCGCTTCTACTGTTCCCATGAAAATTAAGTGCAGGCAAACTTTCAGATGAGGCAGGAAATCCGTCAAGAATTATTTGTTCTTGTTTTTTCTTATACTTCAGGGACATTTTCAACAAGCAAAGCAGAGTTAAATTTTAAGTATCCTTTTTCCAGAATATAATGACAACAAAAGGTAAACAGAGCACAAAAGTGAACTCTAGGGTGCGGGTGCTCAAATTAATTAGAATATGAAGCAGCTAATGAGAAAGACGAAACACAAACGATATTCTTTTACTCACCAATTCTCCAGCGCCCATTTACCGTCATCGGTGCCCAACACATGCAAGCTGTAGGCATGCCTTGATTTCGAGGACTGATTCTCAAAACAGTACCCCACACATAAAAGGAAAAGGAAAAGGATGGGCTTTGATCCATTGAATGATAAATGAATCATACAATATTTTCTTTGACTTACCTTTCATGGATAAGATCTCCGTGAGTACCAAAGAACCAGCTTTCACTTCTATCGGCACAAATCTTTTTGGTCATAAGAAAGGGAAGGCTCATCAAAGTACACTCTGTTTTCACCTCTAAGAAACCTTCTGACCAGGCCATCTTAAAACAACACAGAAGAGATGAAGAAATTAAACAAGGAAAACTCAAACAGGCTTATTTCTCTTGCAAGACAGAAGCGGAAAGGAAAGGGGGCAGTTGCTTTTGTGAGACCCAGGAATGGCCCAAAGGAAACCATTTATCATAGTTGCATCTTCCAGAGCCAGCCACTGCCCCGTGCAAGTTGTTGGTTCAGTATACAGCAATGAATTGTCCTGGTGTGGCACCACTTCACAAATTACAGGCAGGCCTTTTATTAGATAACTCCAGAATGAGGGGCACATAGCTATATTTCAAAGCATGTCTAATGATCTAAAGCTGCAATGAATAGCCATACAACATTGCACATCCATGATGGACTCTTCAGTTGAAGGTCTGTGAATCTGCATCAGTTCGTGTTACATTGGGTAAATGAAGGAAAAAGGTATTCCTCAATTACTGTCAGAAATAGGTTACTCTTCAAAATATCCCCTACCCTATACAATGGCTTATTGCGTCAAGTGGGCACCAAACTATGACGGCCCGTGTGTACTGATGAAGGCATTCTCTAAAGGGGCACTGTTGTTGAGTAGGATGGATGGAGATGATCTACTTGAGCATATAAACTATGATTCTGTGAAGAAGTATTATGTATGTTGTGTTCATCCAATTCAAATCAATAACATGAAGCTGGGTTATTACAGCGTCCAGCACTGAACCCTTGTAATTATTCAGAGATTGCTAAGATAAATTCCATAAATTATGCAATCAATAGCAATCCCAGCAAGTAAAGAACGCCTTGCTAAGGAAACGTTTTCAAGAAAGAATCCAAGTTCTGACCTACTTAGCACATCGATGTACCTGCATAACGCAAATCTGCTATGCTACCATGTAAAAGACCCTGGACATGTAAAGATATCAAACCAAATGGAAAACATAATGCCAACAAGCACTGAGGCCATTTTTTCTTGTGCTTTTCCATAGTTTAGGACTAATCTAAACTTAGATAAGAAGCAAGAACTGTCAAAAAGACAAAGTAAAACGAACTGCCAGCTTTAGTAACATTATACTTTGTCTTAAAAATGCAAGTGGACTGAATGATTACTGGCCCCTCGTAAACTAACGATAATAACAAGCTCGAGACTTTCTCAGAGATAGAGAAACCTTTGAATACTGGATCACAAGTATGTTACACATATTAACAACATCAGTACTTACCGGTTTCCCTTTTTTTTAACAAAAGAAAGTGCAATAGTACTACTCTTCGACAACTACCGTAAGGAAACCCCACTTGCAGAAGCATTGTATTACATTAAAAACAACGAAAGCAGCGGCAAATTTCGAACAGCATACCCTTCCCAGCTTTGTTAATAGATAGTTTCTTTGATTGCTTCAAGTTTCCATCATCCCCAAATGCTTTTTTCTGAATTAACCAAAACACTAATAATGTGGATGTAAGTGTAAGTACAGGTAAGTGCAGATTGAAAGGATAAAAAGGCACACGGGCGTAAGTCGCAGCCGAAAAAAATGAAGAAGAAGAATTAGGACCCATTAGATAAGCAAACAAAAAGAATTCAGTCTTCAAAGCTAGAAAATGGTATTTAACCAAAAAGAGGGAAAAAAAAAGTTATATGACCTCGCAGAAAGTGAAAGGATAATGACAATAAAAACAAATTGAATAGAATATAAAATTATACCTTCAAAGAAAAAATAAATTTTCTCAGTACTCTCGTAGAAGTAATTATCCGTCACCTTTCTCTAAAACAAAAGGGAAACAACAACAACACCGTCATCAACATCATCAAGCGTCCAATTCCGAGTTATTTATTTATAATATAATGGTAAAAGAAAAAAAATACAAACCTGATTTTTAGTAGAGAAAACACAGACGGTGGGGTAATCAAAATCATCAAGTAATTTATCCATCCTCTTCATCATGGAATCGATATCTTCAGGGTATTCTTGAGAGTTGATGAAGTCGAGTTGGTCTGTACTCAGAGTTCCCGTGATCCCAATCACAGCAGGGTTTTTTTGGTGAGGCAAAGACAAAGAGTGGTATGTGAATTACAGATACTGCGAGCGCACACGCATGTATGTATTATACGTATAGTAATTGAAAATATATTAAATAATTATCAATTGCTTTGTTTAGGTAATTAAGCCATTAATTTTATTATTACTAGTGTAATCATCATGATGAAGAAGAGGATGCTGAGCCAAGCTAATGGAAATCAATTTCTCAAATCCAAGTAATGTGAAATGGGGAACTTGATTTTTATACTTTAGTATTTCTATATATATATAATTTGTTTGTTTGAGGTAGAAAGAACACAAAAAATCCACGAAAAATAATGTCCAAAATTTTACGAGAGACATCAAGAAATCACACACAAATAGGCGCGAACAGCACGCTTTCATCGGCAAGATAAGCAAACGTGTGTTAGAAAATTACCCAGTAAGAAACAACATGACTTAGAATCTCACCATTGCCACGTGACTTTTTTAAAACAAAGTCAAAACTCATTGAAATTAGCAAAAATCTGGAAACACTAAAATGTTAGAGAAATATCCACTTGACATACAGCAATAGCTAGTTTTGATGTCAAAACCAACCAAATCATCTTTAAAAACCGTAGTTTCAAATTAGGGTATGTGCGCGTATTAGCAAGGAGAGAGCAAATAAAACCCGGATAGAATGTATTTACAGGTGAATTGTTGTCGTCGGGGTGTGTTTCTCCTGTCCAGCTTGAGCCTTTGAAAAAGCGTAGTTCGAGATTTTGTTGTTCGTGCAGTTTAAAATTTATTTTTAAATTTTTATGTTTAAAATTTATTTTTAAATTTTTAAATCTGTGATAATATCAAAAATAATTTTAAAAAATATATACATATTTTTTAATAAATTTTAAAATAAAAATATTTTATAAAACAATCTTTACATTATTCTAAAATATATTCTTGTTATCTCAGAGAAAGTGTTGTTTTATTTTGCTTTATGAATACCAGATTGGCGGAGGCCTGCTGGATCAACCCAAGTTTTCTTCAGTCATGCGTCCAAAATCCAAAACGTTGGCAAAACTCCTCCAATCTCCGATCCAGTCTTTATTTGCGAATACCATGATAATAGATATTTCGTAACATCTCGGTTGAAGAACTCCTACAGTTATGGCAGGAAATTTTATCAGCTTTGGTATATTTTTTTCATTTAACAGTAAGAAGTTATTCTCATACCTTACCGCATCTCACATTGGCTTAGTAAATTTAAAAAATATATTTTTTACAGGTGCTTTCGAGATTTATATTCATAAAATCAATAATATTTATTAAGTACTGATAAAAAAAAAAAAAAGGTTGGAACATTTATAAAAAAGAATTTTCTTGCCTAGAATTTGAGAATTGTTGACTGCTCAAACAAGGCAAAATATGTTTGTGTTTGAATAAATGTTTTGACACACAAAATTTGAAAATCAGAATCATATTTTTCTAAGATATGGGATTGCAAGACATTAGTCAAATAGCCAAGCTCAGTAGCTAACTCGTTGCCCAGAGAAGTTAAAGCAAAATATCAGACATTGATAGCTTCCATTTGAGTCTTTCCAAGTGACGGGATTTGATCGACGAACAATCAGGATGCAAGGCAAGAAATACATGCAACACTTGCATTTTACAAGGGAATGAACAAAAACAAAAAATGGATACCCTGAATTTTCACAAATCTACAAAAAAACCTCGTTCTGTTTCTAGGGTCTTACACGTGTATGAAACCTCAACAAATTTACAAGCAATGACAAAACCAGGGTACAAAAGAATCTGACTATCCATTTTACAGCTTGTTAGATACAGCAGCTGCAGCAGCATGTATTAAAACAATGCTCAGTTAATACCCAGGGTAATCCCCGCAGAGAAAGAATGTAATCTGCGTCCTCTGGCATCATGTACAAAAAGTTGCAAGTTGCAGTTTCCCTGTATCAATTCGTGGTAAATAATCTGATGAATGTGAACTCAAATAAATCCTTGAAACTCCCAAAATTGAAGTGTATTCTCTCCCACCATGTGGAAAGGGGAAAAAATGAAAGAATCACGAGATGCAAAAATTGGAGTCAGCAGCAAGATGTGTCCACAAAATACCAGTAGAAGAAACAACCATCAAGATCTATCTCCAAGCAGATCACGTAGCTGAAGATGATCTTGAATCTTCTGTTCTGTTAACATGGCACATGCAATCTGGGCACGGAAAGGAATATATGGAGTCATTTGGCCTTTTGATTTCAAATCCTTTAGAATCACTGTGAGACCGCATATTCAGCATGTGTCGCTTGAAGCTCTTCCAACTGTAAAAAAGAGGAAATACAAAAAAAATCAATGCTTATTTATGTTCAATGATGAGCATTCTAAACAACCAAACATGTCCAGTCCCCGTCAGTTCTTTCTCCAATCATTTTCGTTTAGCACCACATGCAATGCAGGGTCACAATCAAACTCACAGATGCTAACTGTAAAGCAATATGATGAGTTCATACTCGATTTTCAGATTATCAAAGAGCATTGCTAACTTTCGCTTGTCTGGCCTGATCGTCTTTGAGTGTCCACCATACAAGAATCTTCTATGGCCCATCAAAAAATGGGGGAAGTTGCCACCTTGAGTTGTCACAAATACCTCACTGTGAAGACACACCGTGTAGTCTATTGCAGCCATCCTAGAAGAATAATTCTGGAAGCAGTAACTCAAGTCAGATCAATAACACTTAAGCAGGTCTGAAAGATGGATGAAAGAAAACCACAAGCCATACAGACCTTGAACGGATCAAGTTCGTCTTCCAATGCCAGCATATCTTTAGTTAACAGATTCGGAAACATTTCCAACAGTGGGGCCATGTATTTTTCAGAATTGTAAATCTTTCCAGATGCCAAATAGATATACGTCTTTTTATCGAAACCCATGCCCCTAAGCATCAATCCAACCTGAGAAGTTTTAAAAAATATCATGCTATGACACAACAATACCAATATCCACAAACCTACAGGCACATATATAAGAGGCCATGCAGTTACATATTACATAAGCAGATGGTAACTTTATCAAAAACTGATGCTGAGAAGTCTCAATTTCAGGTAAGAAAGTGATCACGTGTTTCGTATGCATTCCTTTTGGACATTAAATTTAAATTGATAGTGACAAAATAAAAATTTGCATGATAGCTCTAAGGAATGCTAAGTTATGGAGCCGCAGTTTCTGAGGCCATAAACAATGCAGTTACTTGAAGACCTGTTGTGTTTCCTAGGTTGTAAAATTGAATCCATTCACCAGTCATCTCAGAGCTAGAACAACATATGCACCTACTTATCCACCAACTTTAGGGACAAAGCACTGCTGAAATATTTCCACTTTACTATAAAATGCCTCAATAAGCATTCACTATAATAAAAAGGCATGGATTAGCATTGAAAATAGTTTTCTACCCTGGTGTCAAGCATAAGCATGTTACACCTAACTGACCATGAAGATCATGTAAAGAGAACGCATGAAATTGAATTTTGAGTATTGCTTTCCAATGGAGCAACATATACAGATGTATATTACCTCTAACGGAGTAAGGGGACACTTCCCATTGAGCCTAATTGCCCCAGGACGTATAGTTCGACCAGGCTTTGTAAACTTTCCTTTCCAACCTCTTTCCCTCGCTTCCTTCATGTC